CGGAGGACACCTATCGCGCGCGAGGAGGGTGCCGTTCGAAAAGGTCGGCGCCGCGCGCGTGCGGCGTCGTCGCCTGTGCAAACGATTCAGCTGATCGAGGGGGGAGCAGCAGCCACGTCCGGATAATCGGCTCGTCGCCAAATTGAATTAGTTTCACGAGAAGCGATCAAGATCGCGCGTCAAGTGTACGGTTTTTGGAGGAACGATCGAGGAGAGGAAGCTCGAGGGAGAAGCCGAGCGCGCTCGCGAGAAGCGGGGAAATTAGTGAAATTTTCGGGAACGGTGCGGAAGAAACTGCGACGTAAAGAGGCGAAAACTGAGAGAGGTGGCAATCCTTCTGGGATGTCGGCGTACGGTGGGTGGAGTCTGCGGCCGGCGAGGACGCGTTTTCGACACCTGACAAAATCGCCGACGATCCGTCGCGGCTGAGATCCGCCGTCCACGCCGGATTGATTTCGAGGGCGTTATCACGGCGCGGAGCTCTTTCGGGCGATTCGACGCCTCCTCGACACACCGTCTGTCGACGGAAAGGGAATCTCTCGGTGTTGAGCGTCGCGTTAAGCGGCGCCGAGTAATCCGGAATTGTTCTCGGGGGATTCGGAAAAAGGTGCAGCAGGTAAGAATCATTTATTGTTGCACAGCTACTACTGTCCGCAAAAATCTCGAATTTTTAGGCTAATTAGATGTATAATTAGATATTGTTTCAAATTATGGGATATCTTTTCAATTATGAAATGTCTTGAAGACATTAGGTAGTCATATTAATTATAAAAATTATTTTAAATTGTAGGATGTCTTTTCAATTATCAAATTTTTTGTAAATTATGGAAATAGTTATATTAATTATAATTATAAATTAATATAACTTTCTTACTTTATTAATGGCAATGTTATATTAATTTAGCAAATTATGAATTGCACTTTATAATAGAGATATTTATTAGTGCGATTAACTTGCATGCTCGTTCGATTCATATCCACGTGATGAATACTTAATAATTACGAATATTTATGATAAAACGAATAAAAAAACTGAAACATTCAAATATTAAATCGTCGCAGCAGAGTTCTCATTCACTGATTTACAGAATAACAGAATATTGTTACAAATCGCTCTTGCTCCGTTAAATCGATCTTAGATCTTCCAGGGCGCTTCGACAAAGTATTTTGATTACTTAATTTTTTTAAAATTGGTTAAATGTCGGAACTAAATTATGGCGGTATTTCTTGAAGAAATCCCGCAACGATTACGTTGGCGGATGTTCAAGGGCGGCGCGCTTGCAATGGCTACCTCGATTAAAGTGATTAAAAGATAGAGTATATAAAGCAACATATTCGCCATTAAATTGTTAAGAAATAATGAAGATTAATTTTATATCAATTTATTCTATCAATTTATACCCTGATTTAATTGTAAATTTGATGCAATTATAATATACTTATTTATTATATTTTAAATTTTATGCAATTCTCAACATTTCTAATTCTCTTTACAACTTCCTTAATAAATACACAGCATTTTAGATATGTCAAGATACATTTTTTATTTTTATTTATTTATAAATGTTGCTATCTAATTCGCATATATTTCTTCGATTTTACATAAAGTCAAACTTTTTATAAAATCAGACAGAAATAAATCTGTTCTGAAGGAATTATATTGTTTCTATTTTCTATCGATCGGCAAAATTTTTGACAATTTGGCATAGTCTTCGACATAATAAAAATAACTTTGGGAAATCATTGATAGCATCCCTAGATAAACGAATATCCGAAAGATATGCGCAACAATTAATTAATGGCCGGATAGATAATGTCGCTTTAACGACCATTTCAATACATTAAACGTTAAACGTTTATGCAACGGAAACGGGCCCAAGGTTTCGCCTGTTCGTCGAGCTCATCGCGTTGTGGGCGAGCCTTAGCCAAATATGTAAGTATCAAGGCTTAGGATTCTACGAAGCCGCGTGTCGGATAAATATTACAAAGTTATATTATGAAGTTATTATGAATATGGAAAGCGAAGTTAGAGTGGGCTTATGGTGCGCAACAAAGTGATTGCAAATGCTCGATTTATTTTCCAAACGAATACGTGTTTATATAGTGTTGACTTGTAGAATTGACGATAATAATTTTCCCGTTATGCAATTGAGGGTGCAATTCGTGGAATGGGGCGAGGAGGAAAAATGCAGACTTATGTATCGTTGTAGAAACCGCGACATTGAAGTCTCCGGAAATTTCTTCATTTTGCGCACCTTGGCGTGCAGGCATCGACGTCTCCGGTGACTTCAACGCTTTATGCTATATTTAGCACAGATATCTGGCACAGATCCGGCAGCCAAAATGTTCTTATATTAATTAATCGTTTCACTTTTACTAATTTTTGGTCGTATTATTTCTATTATGATTATTATTTCTAAATAATATTTACTCAATACATTACGCTGAATTTTAATATGTTTACGAATAATGGGAATTAGATAATACGTGTACGTAAATATAGCTGGATTCATGTTTAGAAACAACTCGAGTCTTAATGAAAAATGCAATACATAAGTTACTGCTATTTTCCCCGTAATTTTTAGACAGAGAGAAGAAAATTTACAGGTGTGGAATTCCCACATAAGTACCATTATACTGTCCTTGAATATTTCGATTAGTGATTCTCCCGCAGACGAACCGACACTTTAAATCACCTGCGCGACAGCTGTTTCCGCTGTCAAGATACCAGTCCGCATTCGTTGCTTAAATCATTCGTTCTTGTTGGTATACGACTCTATTGATGTATCTATAAGATGTTTTTAAAAAGATTTTATAAACTATGCCAGTATAGAAGAGAGGCAAATAATTTATTTTTTTAATAATTTTAAATATATAATAATAACAACAGTCTTTCTCTCGGCAATAATCCGCTATCAATATATCATCATTTCGTTCTTTTATTTCTCTCGGAAGATGCACGTTGCGTTTTTTTTTAAATAAAAATATTTTCTCGCACCCCGCGAGGAATCGCGCGCCACGAGGGACACGTCCCTGGCCGCGATCGCCGATCCGACCGGTGTGTCCTCTCCTCCCCGTGCCGCAAGAAAGGTGGAAGCTGCGGGGACCACGGGCACATCCTCGCCGTGATGTCGATCTCCGGCGGTCTCGTAAATCACGCCGCGATACACATCCGGCGCCAGGCCATCGAAAAAGGGCTTGGCGCGCGAAAATGGCGGCCGCACGGTCGCCCATAGCCGACCATGGTGGTCCGGTGGTGGTCGAGGTCGACCGCGTGCTCCACCGCCGTCGCCGTTGCCTATCGTGGTGTACTAAAAAGTGAACGTTGCATCGTGCATCGCCGCCGCCGCCGCCTTCGCGAACAAGCGTGTCGCTTTCTCGACGGGCTGCGAGCGCCTGTACCCGAACGGGGGGGGGCTCGGCGATACTAACCCGCCTGAAAACGTTCACCGGCTACCTCGACGCCGAGATTGGCCTTAACCCTCGCTCGGGGTGACGTCACGATGCGGGGAAGCGCCGCGATTATTTTTTTTTTGCCCGGCCGCAGCTACTCCGGACTTGCGATTCGTGGAATGAGGCGAGGGAGGAATGCGAGAGGCAATATCGTCGTGTACCAAACTGAGTTTATAGAACGGAGGAATGCTAGGTGTTTTTCTGCACGGGCCCCCCTTTCTGTATTAGATTAGATAGAACTGGTATGAGGATAGAGGATATGGGGTACAATTGGAAACGAGCTCAAGGTCGATGGAGAGAGGGCGACAGGGTAATAAAGAAAGAATGATCCGGTTTGCGGAACGATACTGTTCACTGTTAGGTCTTTTAAAGTGTGTTTTAAATAAACAAATACACAAAGCATCCGTACCCTTATTCTGATAACATAATACAAGGAGTTTCTTATTCGAAAAACGGAACTTCAAAATTCGTCACACATCTTTATAATTATATATAATAAAATACTTGGAAATATTGTGTTATGTACAGATTCTACTATAATATTTATACATATATATAATAATTTCTTAATAAATATAACGTTTTTAAGATATTTTCTTAAGAAGAGATTAAATTATATTAATAAATTTGTTAATTAATGACGTTAACTGCCGCGAATAGTATCGATAAGGGATATTTTTCGAACGAGCATGCAAGCTTGATAATAAGCGGCGAATCTTCGAATCTGCCGCCTCTCGTGCGACGGAGACGATGTTTGCGTGATCGATCGTACCTTGCGCGAGTTCGACCCAGTTATTAATAAGACTTTCTCTTTTATTTTAGCCATGGACTGGAGGGGGTTCGCGCTGGCATTTCTGGTGGTGAGTAAACACAAAAAATTATTTCTTTCGACTGCGTGCAAGATGGCTCACCTTGAACTAATGAGATATCTTAACCCGGGCGACTTTTGATTCTTTTGCTTTCTTTTACACCTCACATTTTTACAGAATAAAAATTAAAATATATCTGTTTATGTGATAAGAATTACATTATTGTAGAAACATTATTACTAAAAATTTTCATGTTATAAGAAAAAATATTGCACCAACATCTGGCTGGATATAATTTTATTACGCAATGCTATTAAAGAATCAATAGTTTCAGTTTATTTTATTATATATTTAATCTAAAAATATATCAAACTTCTGTCCCTTCTCTTTTTCACATAAAATACGCCTGCATAACGAATGTGCGATATTCATCTTAAGTGTAATCGCTTAAATTAGATTTAAACGCAATTGTTCTAAATTCATTTGCGTTATGTAATTCGCGTGGAGGCGAAGCTGATATAACGTTTAATAACATTGTAGAAAATACTCGCTCAAAACGGTAACGTTTATCGTGCGATTCCATCATTAATAGTTCCGTTTGTAAAAACCGGTTGATGGATTATGGATTTGCGCTTGACTCGACAGTCCTGAAGTCGAAGGGCGAGGGGATAATGTATAATCGAGAGACGAGAATATACGGCTCTCGCCGTCGTTTCGGGTAGGCGCGGATTAATAGCATCCGTAATATGTACACACACTTTCTCCCGTACGTGCCGCGTCGTACACGCGTGTGATTTACAAAGATATGCGGCGTGTTATGTAATCCTTTGTTGGCGCACGACACATCCGAGAAAGGTGTCTGGTTGTGACTGCTGAACCGCATCGGCGCGCCAAACGACGCGTTCGTCAGTGGAAATTTGACAAACGAGCCTCTCTCGCGAGAAAGCAGCTGGACGGCTTTCGAGCGATTTTCAGGCATACAACGACGGAATACGCGTACGATATTTTCTCTCTAATCGCGCGTCGTTGCTTAGTTTTTCGAACTGTCAACGGAGAAGCAAGTCCGACTGATATTTGAGTCTCTCTCCTCTCGTATCAGATATTAATGTTGCTCTCGAAAGTTCTTTAATTACGGCAGAAATAACATCGAGCATGAAAGTGTAGAAAACGACTGAAATAGAGAAGAAAAGTAAATTGCAAACGTTTTCTGACTAATGAATATCCTGTTAATTAGTGGATAATTGCGTTTTATAACTGCGAAAGGGAAAGAGAGAAATGCCAGGGGAAATTTTTTTACTTAACGATGAAGTATTTAAAATTTATAACGCAATATAACCAATTTTTAAAGCAAAAATATTTTACGATGGCATTGAAAGACGACGTCGAAGATAAACAAAAAGTGCGGTAATACAGGTATTTAAGTATGACGGTGTCTTTCACGGCGGTTTCGGAGAACGTTATGTCACTATACCGACAATAGTCGTGGGATCGCTTTCTGGATGAGAGGCTGACGGATCTAATGTCGTTAACCCATTCAAGAGACGGCAATCCCGGCGTTACGTAACATATAATAATTGACAATTACACTAAACTTGGCGTTTACGTGTAGCTTAAGTTTCCACGACAGGAGCCTCGAAACGTGTGTCGTTAATACATGCCGTAGAAAACAACCGAGTGCCACCGTTTATTATCACGGAACTTTTCATTGTTAGCACATATTACTTTGCACAAGACACGAAATAAAATCCCAAAATTCAAGCCGTCACAGTTAACTTTTTTATCTATGTCCCAGTTAGAGAATGCCATGAAAACACATGTATATTTAACAGTATGCAAATTTTAATGACTACGAATATTCCTCTATGGAAAAGAAAGATACATAAATTAGATTTATTTATTTTCTCCAATTTTTATTTATTCAAAGGAGATAAATGAGGCAATCGGAGCCAAGCGCGGTAATCAATGCGCAGACAAATAATAATAATAAATAAATATATTAGCTTGGCTCCGATTGCCTCATTTATCTCCTTTGATTTAGTCTAGAGAGCCTATATTTCGTTTAATTTTATTTATTGTTTCCAGTTATCATAAAAATTTATCCCATAAAAATTATATTAAAATAAATAAAGAAACTCAAACCTCTTTTCTGACAAATTTATCGATTTCATTATTTCGAATGTGATTATCGAAAAAACTTTCCTTAAATTATATAGAAACTCCTTTTTTCGTTGATGAATCGTTGTAAAATGCAGCGTATCGAGCTTGATCGGAACACCCCGTTGCACGTAAGAAGAAAAGACAATCCGTTCAAAGTCGCCACGCCCACTTTTACTTCGCGTTCTTTTAAATATCGACGCGAGATCTTGGCAAGCCCGACGCTCGCTGGCACGTTTCCATAAACGTTTCACTCCACGGTGGAAGACCATCGATAACCGGAAACGTGACGCCGAATGTGCGCTTCGTAATTTTATGCGTTCGTCCGTTCCTTTATTTCTTTGTTAAGTACAACGAAACGAGAACCTGCCGATTGAATTCTGCAAACAACGTGAAAACTTCGACATATATTACGTCATAATTTCGAAACGGGTTCCCTTGAAAGCGGAAGGTTATGAATATTTCTAAATATTTTTTTTTTTAAAACATCAGGGATTATTCTTCGTTAATATAGCTTCTCGTCGAAAGGATTCTTCAAACAATTCGTGGGCCGTGCTCTCGCTTAAGAATACCAGAAACGCAAATACGATAACGCAAACATTTAATATGACCAAGTCCAATAGAAACGTATATGCCAATGAAGAGAGGAGAAAGTAAAAAAACTCTCGTCCGACAAATCCCATTTCTTTCCGCGAAATAAACGTCATCCGATTTAAGTGTGACTAGGAGATGTGTATATTTACTCGTACGCCCAAATTAGGATTCGCTGACGCGAGTCATCCGTTTCAATTAGAGATCGGTGAAATCGCGTGGTATATTCGATCGATACGATCGTATTCGGAGGACTCGCGTGGGCGCTCGTTTTAAAGTTCGGAAGTCATTGCGATTAAGTCGAATGCAATCTCTTTGCCCACGCGTAGCGACAATCCTCCCGAGAGTCCTACAGAGCTTCACGTCTACATTAAATGCTTAAATACCATGGTGACATAATCGCGGCTTTGCTCGCGGCGTCAGATCACGACGTCACGGGAGCACGCGCCGCGATTGCGTACGAAAGTGACTAACTAGCAAGAGTCGCGGACTGTGTGTCTGCAATAGCGAGTAATGGGCGGCGATCTCAAGGAGATCCCGGCCCACGTTAGATCCGTGTTGGATGACGGCTGTAGATCGTAGTCCGCCGCTCCAATTACCTATTGAACTACTTGACGTTCAAGGATCACGCTGCCGGGTAATGCGACATTAGTATCAATCTGAACTAGCATATGTCGCATTATTATTAAATTCATATGCTAATTAACTGTGCATAACCGAGAAATACGTCTGAAGGCAACATCAGAGCTAATTTTAGCCACCATACGTCGTATTATTAACGATAATTCTTATTTTAATTAAATCCAAGGATTACGTCTCAGTGCTAATATATATATCGTATTATTATCGGACATTCTTGCTACAATTGAACGATTAATGCTATCAGTCATAGACGATAAGAAAATCGGCAATTAACTGATTACCAACATCGAAGATTCCACGAGCGATTTCTTTTCGGTTTATGTTAGTGAAGATGCGCGTTTCGCGAACAGAGCGAAGCCACGGAAGGAAGGTCAGTCCTCGATGGATTCCATCGGACGCGGAACGTCGCGAACCTTATATGGTCCGGTCTTGCTGCTGGCGGACCAACTCTGCGCACCGCTGCGCTTTATCGTAGTATCTCCAACTCCGCGTTTTGCGTTTGGATCACGTCCATCGCGTTTCGATCCAATTGTACCCGTGTATCGGGCAGCATCGATCTCACGATAATCTACCTCGCCACGGGCGCTCGTCAAATTAATGGGACACAGTGCTCCGCAATAAAAGACGGCCAGCAGCCAGTATAAAGCAATAGTTCTCTCGCTATCGCCTTCACTTTGGCGCTCTAGTAAATATAGTCGCAAATATAATCCGCAAGAGAGGGAGAGAGAGAGAGAAGTGCAGGGGCCATGTCGTTCCGAGTATGTATACACTTGAATGGTCAGTGACTCGTTAGACCACTTTCATTGCACGGACGAACAAGCGCCGGCCATACTGACGTCAGCGTTCGCCGCGGAGACTCTTGTCGCGGCGTGAAACTTTCCGTTGCGTTAAAGCGAACGCGCGAAGCGATTGTTTACCGCCGTGCTGTGCACGCAGGAGAGATAACTTTTATCCCAGTTACGCGCGAGCGCGAGAGATCGTCCCGCGTGGGAAAAAGAAAGGCGAGAGGCGCTTCGCGGGAGAGCTTCTGCGATTCTGCGATCGCTCTCGTAGGTCAACTATCGCTTTCCGATACACCGCTCGTTGCCGCGATACCTAAATTGGAAACGACGTAAAGATAAAAGTGTGTCGAGGGGAAATTACATGGCGCGACGGCGATCGTCCTTGTATTATTTACTCTGGCGTACGCCATCGCTCCGCTTACCGATGTTTCCACGGACTCGGGTAGATCAGAAAGAGGACGGTGCGATCTCTGATCGGTCGCGCCGCTGATGAAACCAATTTATTGTGGGCGCGTAAGCGGCGATTCGCGCCGCTTACCCGATTAAATCGTCTCCCCGAGTCCGCGTACCTTCCGCGTTGAAGTTACATTACGACCGAGCATATTACGCATCGCGCGAAATTACCTGCGATTCACGCACCGCGGGAATGGATCTCGAATCAGATTGATGGAAGGCAATTACAGTACTCGTGTATCTCCCGTCGCTGTTAATCTAAAAATAAATTATCGCGACGTTATTGCGTTTCGCCGGATGGCATAATCGCGGGTGATTTTAGTCGCGGATACACGTTAATGACGTTAATGCGCTGCACGTCTTTTCCATTATCGGACCAGAGACTCGCACACGTCTTTCCGCGCCACAATGACTGCACTCGTCTCATTTACAAGCTTGCGAAGAGAAAAAGGCATAGAAATTTCCATGTTTCACGCAAGAAATCAATCATCGTTTCATTACTTCATTTTCTCTCTTCATTAAAATGACGCCATCGTATATATGATTTTATTAGAAGCGACAGCGACCTTGCGTGCGCGGAACGATCTTTTCTTTCTGCTGCGAATGTCGCAGGCTGTTATAAACGACACATTCGTGCATGCGAGCGATCATTAATTTTAATATTCCACGATGAAAATATTATTTTAGTCTTTTAAGAAAGCAGTTCCTCTGTTACGTGAATTTTTATAAAACGATGACGACAGTGAAAAGTATAAGAACAGTGCGGTTCATAACATTACGGAAAGTGAGAACTAGCGAGAGGCGATCATAACTCGGGCATGACATTCTCGCGAGACTTTCATATCGCGCACTTTTAATCGGGATGGCGATCGATCATCGATCCAACGTCGATTAAATTAATACCTGTGGATGTGAGATATCACATACATAACGCGCTGCAAAAATGTTTGAAACGCGTTTTAAATTGGCAGTTCTGTAAATCATAGAATTCCACAATCAATTTGTTCGTGAGAGGCGTTAAACGGGGAATATCGGTGCGGTGCGATAAATTCTCGCGTTTGAGGTTCGCGGAATATCATTTCTTCCCTAATCGTCGCAATTAAAGACACAACGCTCCCATCCTTTCACAACGACGCGACAGTTAATGGATCCATTACGGCAAATGGATAATGACACCGCGAATTTGTTCAGAAAGTTCACGGATGGGAGTCAAATTAAATCTTAATCGGGATAAATCATCGCTCGTTGCCGCGGGTGCACCGGCTCCGGCTGTAATTACGCGTATTACTTTAATGAACCACCGCGCACATATATTTGTCTCAAAGCGTTTCATAGTTCTCCCAGGATCGGGCATCTTTTTTTTTCTTTCTCCCGAGTCGCGCTTATTTCATCATTGACTTCACCGCAAACGCCGATGATATCACACCGCCAATTGTGGCAACTTGCTCTGTCACCGGGGAATAACCTGATCCTGATAAATACGAGCCATCTAACTGGTAAAAGTGACGGCGAGACACCGCTCTCTTTTTCCACGCCTCTCCCGGTGTTTCGCCTAACGCTGGATATCTAGAATTTTACGTAACTTTTTCCACGATTCCTTTTCCTGTTTTTTTAATATAAATTCTCTTTCCGCGTCTCATCCATTGTGAGACTAACGTTATTCCATATTCATGTCGCGAATCTCGCCGGTCGTACCTTAGGAGGCAGCCTTGAGGGAACTTTCCGAAGCTTGTAAGCATGAGTTCTTACTTAAGCGTCAGGTATTTTAAGTACTTGCGCCACGCGTGTTACACTCGTGTTACAATATCGTGTGCGTTGCGCTATTCTAATTGCGTTTCGCGCGATACGCTCACCACCGACCGGCTTAACACGAGGCAATAGCGCGGCTAAGTCAGCGCTAACAATCCTATCTTATTAAGCGAGAAGATCTAAAACATCGCCTTTCCCCTATTTTCAGATCACAATAACGAGGCACAGCGGTAGCAGCACACACGCAGCCCAGATACCTCAACAGCCGCCGACGTGTGAGTACAACTTGCGAGAACTTACTTTCTAACCGTCCCGACGACAACTAATTAGGGCGAATCAATTAGACCGTTGATCTCGCGTACGCGGAATCGGAAGGAATTCGCGATACACCTCACTGTTTCATCTGCTCTGTTTCTTCCTCGCTCGGTCGTCTCGAACGCGTCACGCGGCGCGAATTTTCTCCCGCGGAAAAATCGCATCGCGCGCAGTTCCCCCTCGTAAAGCCAAATTGCCGGATAATCAGATAAAAGTGGACGCTTTCCACACGACGCGCACTTTCTAATGACGGCACAATACCGCCTGATGACAATGATTCGAGATGGGATGCTTGTGGTAACGAAGTATAACGGTTTGGAAATAAACGTAATTACTATAGAAAGTAATCGACCTCTCGTATATACTTTCTTAACGCCCGACACAGAGGCTCAATTAATTACTCGGGCTAATTACCTCCGTGCCTCAATCAATCAGTCACTCATTTGGATACGTGTATCCGAAGATTATCTCGAGACTTTATCTGCCCTTGACATTTAATCACATAATTTAAATATTGATCTCTTATCAATGTTGAAATTACATCGAAAAACAAGCTTGGAATATGTAAGTTTAAAAGTTTTTCGGTAATTTTGTAGATAGATAATCGCTGCAAAATCATTAGATAAATCTGTTCGTTATATAAATTAACTAAAAAATGAGCGATACCGTCGTAGCGATAACTAATAGGCGAAGAGAATTATTTAAACGCTTTTCAAGGATCATATATTAATAGTTAATAAGAACGAAAGGAATATCTTTGTATCCGCCTCACCGTCGGAATCTCCGACCGGCTACAGATTTTTCTTACGTCAGCGAGATCGGGGAGAGCAATTAATCCAGCTGACGGGCGGATAATTTTAACGAAAGGGAAAAGCGTCGTCGTTCGGAAGAGTCTTTCCAGACGGGATCGAGCGACGACCTTCCTTGGAAGACATTGCTTTTGCTGGAAGGTGAACGCAGCCGTGCGACCTAGATTCTCATGTGGAAAGGAGCGGAGCCGCGCGCGCGGTACGGCGGGAGGAACGGAGAAAGAGTGATACGAGATATAAACGGCATGAAACGAGATGACGATTATAACCGGGACGAACGACGAGCGTGCACACCATCGTGCATCGCGATATCCGCCGCGGCATGATGGCACATCGACGCGAATCGAAAGTCCCCGCCGCGCCGTGCACGGCGTGCACTTGGCGGCGGACACTTTCAGCCTTTTACTTCACGCGGTCGAGCGACCGCAAGTCAAATTTCACCCATCGTATCGGCGGAAATGCGCCGTCGATGCGGACTCGCCTTTACTTGCTTATCGCAAATCGCAAAACCTGCCTTCGCAAAGGCAAAACTCGTCTCGATCCTGCGCGAATCCGCTATATCATATTCGCCGCGATTCTCTTAAGAAGGAAAAGTTGCGCGTGAAAATGAGAGTAATATTTTTTATTATTAGATGAGTTTTTTATTAGATATTGAAGTAACTCGGCTAAGAATATCTCCGTATAATATTGATGTGACAAGTGTTTGAAATAAGCATGTTAAGCTGCACTCTTTGACGCAAATCAGCTCAATATTCCAGTCAAGTAGACTGCAAACTCGTAATCCCTCAAATACCTCTAGATGCTTCACGAGATGACGATTAATGAGCGGGACGAACATACTATTTTCCTCGTGACAATGATGAATCGAAAGTCTCCGTTGAAGCGGCCGCGGGCGCTTTCGGACTTTTACTTTTTGTCGTTTGTTCCGCCGCACCGGGGAGATGGAGGAAAATGAAATTGTTCCGTTCTGCCCTGATAAGAAACTAGGCACGTGTCTTGCACATCATATTATTATTACTTTCCGTTTGTTCTCTTTACAAATGATTTGGCGCCTATTCTTGAACACGTTTATGCGCTGCTTTATGCTGATGATCTTAAAGTTATATCTGCAGGCTAATTTACTTTCTAACTGCTTCATGATCCAACCTGTAGACAGGCTTGTTTCTTGATGCGACATGCAAACAAGCTTTTATTGAATATTTCCAAATGCTCCGTTATGAGATTCTCACATAATTATAATTAAATTTACTATTTATATATACGTATATTGCTAGATACACACATACAATTAATTTTTTTTACTAAGAATTTAGTTAAATTTTGGAGAGTTATCCTTAATTATCTTAACACTTTAATATTTTAATTTTAATAATATTATTGATAAAATCTTTAGATTTAATTCAAATGTTTTGATTTAAATTTTAAAGACAAACACCTTTAATATTCTACGTAATTAATTCTTGTTTAAATTTTGAGTAACGTTATATTTGCACATAAATTTTTGCATTTGCATAAGATTGATTTGAGTATGCGCAGATTGGCTCACTACACATATATTAAATCGGTTTAAATTACAAGCTATTAAAACTCGCAGACTCATTTCTTTTAAGCTCATTACTGGTTGTATTTATTGATGCTCATGCGCTCTTCAAATGATTAATTCAAATGTGCGCTTCATATAGCTGCCACCGTAAGGCATCTCCACTTTTTTGCTCTTAACGATTTAGAACCAATTTGTTTTACACAGAGAGAGAAAGAGAGAGAGAGAGAGAGAGAGAGAGAGACATTTTTTCTACAATTACCTATAGTATCTATACAGACGTAGACATTCTCTTGTTACGTAGATAATCTAATTTCTTTTCAGTGACAGCTTATTTCTTCGTTTCTTACTTATAATTATTTAGTATTTACGCATTTAAATATTTATATTAAATGTACTGTTTTTACGTGTACGATACTTTCACTTACTTTACATATCTTTTTTTCATCTTTTAAGTTAATCACATCATAATAAATGAGTAAACGAATTATTATAATATACTATACATATACTTTCAACATTTCTTTTATTACTCATTTTATAAAGTTATATTAGAAATCTATAAACCAACATAATATTCTAAATTCGTATTTTGCACTTTGCACTTGCAGTCCTTTTTTGGTTGTTCTGGTGAGATTTGCATTCCGATTACTGCATTGTAAAGCGCTATCACTGTCGGGATCGAGTAGAGTATTGTTTAGTGCCTCTCAAACCGTTGTTTCTGCACTCTCGAGGAGAAACCGCGCCTTCGAAGAAAGCATTTTTTTTCCGCTGCTACCTTCGCATATGCGAACGTTCGTTCGCTCTCGCGGAGGACGAAACTATTATTCTCACATGCATTACAATACCTGCAATCGCGTTTCCATATATGCAGCCTGGTCGTGTCGATCACCACGCTAAAAGATTTAATCGCCACAGCACTCTATCCTTATTCCTCCGTCTTCCATCTCATTAAATGCTCATTACTTTACTATTTTATTAAATAAATACACCATAAAGAATTTGTACATTAAAAAGCAGATTATTCCGCTGATACAATTGACCGACGTACATTAAAAGCTCATTAAAAACGAGTTCTCGTAGAAATCATTTTTCGCTAGAAAAAAATTACGATCCTAATTGGACGCGTTCTCCTATTTCATAAACATTCTAAAATCACGGAGTAGAAAATATTTTGCAGAAAGCGAGCGATCGCATAAGTTTCCAATTTGTCAGAGGCAGACGAATCTCTCTAACGAACATATACGCGTAAGCAGCACTTGCAGATCGCTTAATTTTTTATGAGAATACGTCGGATTGATATAATAGAGGACACGCAGTTGTGCGATGCGGCGTGAAAAAAAATCCAGGTCGTGCGAATTGGATTGTCCGTGTTTAACGCGCTCTGCGCATTTGAATACGTCGTTTTCTTACGTCCCCGAGGAATTTTTCACACCGCCGTCGTGTTCATGCGGGATAAAGTTGTCGCCAGACTCGTTAGTGCGCGATAATTAAAGGCCACGGGTGTTATCGCATCGGTATAATTATAAGGAAGGATTATCAAAAAGAAATCTCTAATTAGGGATATTTCTATTGATTAGCGTTACATTGTTTTGACGCTTCTTCAGAAGATGTAATTGTACGTGGAATTAGCGAGTTTTATTACTTTTATTTTATTTCAATTCTAAGAAATCCAGCCAGTTGAATCGGTTAATATGTCGCCTGTGCGAAACGACTTTCTGTTTTTGCAAGATTTTTGCGCGAATGACAGTGATTGCTAATAAGCAATCGATATCTTTCACGATCAGAGCGATCAGAGCGACAATTCGTGATAATTTGTCTTGTCTACGTGGTCGGAATTTTTTTTTTATGGGAAGAGGACTATGGAAAATTATTCGCGGCCATAGGCGAAGCTTCGTACGTCGTCATTTATCATGACCTATCTCCGTCGATCGATCTTACGATCCGTTGCGTCGGATTAGTTATTCGCTTAACTTTACGTACCATTAATACGATGTACAAGGCGGCTAATGTACTTCACGCTTTACCGTTGATTCGACATCATTATCTTTTAATCTGACTTTATCATTACGGCGCACTTATGTCACGGTCGGCGATCAATCCGATGCCTCCGATAAATTAGACGTGATGACTCGGTGACTTTTTTTCTAGAGATACAGCCATCCGTTCTATTTTTCTTGTCCGTGTCTTAGCCGAGATAACAAATTGATCCTTACGTTCAAGCGACAGTTTTCTTCTTGACCTGTATATCTTCTTTTAAGCGACAATTAAGAAGCATGGCACTGCTAATGTTGCGTTAGATCGATAGTCGGATTCCACTCCTCAAAACGTACCTTCGGCAAATAATTTAAACAATAATTAAGTCAACGAAGTACAAATAATTATCGAACGATAATTAATAGAACGATATGTTGAAATTAGAATGTTGTAAAATTGCTATATTAATGTGTCGCGATTAGAGCTCTTGCTTCGCAGATTGGAGAGACGCGCGTTACGATGCTCGTAGTTACGCTCTTCACTCTCGAGCTTCATGTTAATTCGGATGTGGTAATAAACTTAACTAGTTACCGTTGACTTCGTCGACCTTGGGTGATAAGTTCCTTTCTGTAAT